CAACTCTCGGGGCCAACCCCATCCCCATGCAGCCTTGCAGCAGGCATGCGCGCAACAACAACAACAACAACAACAAACAAACAAATGAAGACTGGATTGTTTGCTTTAAAAGCCATGGGTTGGTGTTGGTAAGAAAAAACAGCTGCAGGGGGTTAGGGACTTGGGGAGGAAGGAGGAGGTACCTAGGACTAGTTGCAACACCCAAAAAACTCCTGCAACAAATGCAAAAATGGCACTTGCGGACTTGTAGCAGTTGCACAAAGAGCCACCTTCCTGCAGGTGCCTTATTTAGCACCGCAGGGAAATTCAGCCAAGGCCCCTTGTGCAAAATGTATTGCAATGAAATGGCTTGTTGAGAAGCTGTGGTGGGGAGAGGGGTGTTTTAACCCTTTCTCACCCCTTCTTCGTTTGCTCTGAATTGCTCACACACAGTCCTCTATGAAGATGGCAGAGGCATGTTTTTTTTTGGGGGGGGGCCTCTGCAGGGAGGCAAGAGCACCGGGGAGGCAGTTTGGAAAAGACATGAAGCAGGCAGCAAGTGAGGAAAAGGGTTAACTGCACACACATAGGCTGCCATTGCATTCTAAATTCACACACCCCTCTTTTTCTCTTAGAAAAAAGCAGCCTCCAGGCATCTCTTACATGTGTAGCTTCACCCTAAGCTGGTCACAAATCTACAAGTCAAAGAAGCCATGCATTATCATCACTATTTGGAGAAGGACCATAGCTCAGTGGTAGACAGTGCATCTGCCTGGCATGCACAGTCCACTCCCTAATATCTCCAGGTAGGGCTGGGGCTGTCCCCTGCCTGAAACCCCGGAGAGCTGCTGCCAGTCAGTGTAGACAACACTGGCTAGATGGACCAATGGATCTGACTCAAGATAAGGCAGATTCCAAGGTTTCTATGTCTGAAGGGAAGGGTGGTAGAGCACCTGCTTTGCATACAGAAGGTCCCAGTTCAATTCCTGGCATCTTCAAGTAGGGCTGGGGATGTCCCCTGCCTGAAACTCCAGAGAGCTGCTGCCAGTCAGTGTCAACAACATTGGCTAGATGGACCAACAGTCTGACTCTGCATAAAGCAGCTCCCTACGTTTCCATTATGAAGGAGATTTGACATCTCTACTCCACCTTTTCCCTGCGCTGAAAATCAAACATAAGGCGTCTTGAAAATAAATACAGTGGTACCTCGGGTTACATACGCTTCAGGTTACATATGCTTCAGGTTACAGACTCCGCTAACCCAGAAATAATACCTCGGGTTAAGAACTTTGCTTCAGGATGAGAACAGAAATTGTGCTCCGGCGGCGCAGCAGCGGCTGGAGGCCCCATTAGCTAAAGTGGTGCTTCAGGTTAAGAACAGTTTCAGGTTAAGAACGGACCTCCGGAACGAATTAAGTACTTAACCCGAGGTACCACTGTAAGACAAAATACAGTAAGACAAAATACACAGCATTTCTCCCCCCCCCAACCCCACAGCAGCCTAAAAATGTCATCACAAAGGCTCAAATTAAAAGAATGTAAAGCTTTAACAAGCATTTGGTGAGACATACCTCTCCTGGGTTGGAGATGGGCTCTTCTGCTGTGTACTGCATAGCTGAGATAGCTCACCTGGTAGAGCATTAGACTCTTAATCTCAGGGTTGTGGGTTTGAGCCCCACATTGGGCAAAAGATTGGGCGTTGCATGGAGTTGGACTACATATGACCCTAATGCTCCCTTCCAACTCTACCATTCTATGTCCTGTATATTATGCCCCAGAATCAAATAAGCAAAAATAACAAGATCCCACTTACAACTTTAGAAAGAGGAAAATATTATTTCTTCCACTTGTGTAGGTCACAACCAAGTTTAGAACAAGCATGGCTGCTGGATCAGGCCAATGGCTATCTAAGTCCAGCATTCTGTTCACCCAGTGGCCCACCTGAGCAGGACAGCAACTCACCCCACCTGCAATTCCCAGAAATTGGTATTCAGAAGAATACTGCCTCTGGCTGTGGAGGTACAGCCTACCCATTGTGGCTAGGAGCCATCAATAGCTTTATCCTCCACACATTTGTCTTTGAAAGCCACCCAAGTTATTTGCCATCTTGGATTCTTCAAGTTAATCATCAACCCAAATCAGCAATCTATGGTTAATTATGCATGGTAAACCACAAGCTGGATAAAGCATGCAAGCCAAACATTTTTGATGCTATTTCTCTCACTGCAAATAGATTCACCCTGCCTCTGCCCAGGCCGGGGAGAAAACCAGAAGCCTTAACAGGTGCCCCCCCCAAATAGAACCCCCCCTCCCGATAAATGTATTTTGTCCATTTCTGTGGCTTCTGGGATTTCACCCTTCTTCTGTGCCCGCCCACTCTTAAAGCATGCGGTCTAGAAACTTGACTGATGCTTTTTAAACGAAATGTAATATTTGAGCTGTGTGCACGCGGTGAATGGGGTGCAGAACCATCCCATTCCTACAGCTCTACAAAACAGATAGGCCTACGGTGCAGTTTAAAGTCCCGCAATTGCTTGCCTCAAAACAGGCACCAACCCCCAAAGAAATCAGACTTGTTCACAGCTTTAAATCGGACCATTGCTAAAGCAGCTTTGAATGTCGCAGGTAGCCAAGAGTTTTTAACTAGGTAGGAAAACCCTTCCATCTGGAGAACACCAGAGATTGGTAGTGACAGGCGACAATCCCATTCTTCGGTTATCTACTGCAATGCCACAAGGAGGTTAGCAAAGAGTGGCATTGGGAGATAGGAGAATTTCACAGCTCCCTCTCTTTAGATCTGTTGCAAAGACACACACTACGAGTCCAGCTACTTTTGGATGGGGTAGCAGATGCTGTTGCAAGCAGCCCAAGAACAGAAAACCTCAAGCCAAGGAACTGAGCCAAGTTGACTCAAAGGGCCAAAAAGGGGTCTCCCTCAAAGGACATACAACAGGGCCCTTAGCCATTGCCCTTGCAAACTACCAGACACCATAGCTTCTTGGTTGGCTTCTCTTGAACGCTACAGAGTGTGTCAGCACATAAAAAGAGCCTTGCTGCTGGAACAAGCTGGTGGCTCGTCTAGTCCCTCAATGTGCTATCACAGAAGCCAATCAGAAGCCCATGGGAAGCCAGCGAGCACAACCCAACCACAACAGCACTCTCCTCACCTGCAACTCCTAGGCAACACTGCTTCTGGCAGTGGCAACAGAATATTTTTCTTAGATTACATTTTGCCGGATGAGCAAGCACAACAAGGCACCCTTCTGGAACCCAGACGTATGAATCAAGCTGCGCAGAACCTCCGAATTCTTCAGTGTTACATCAGCACTGGCTTTCAAGTGGGATTTGCTTCTATCGACAGGGAGCGACTTTAGCAAAACTTGAGCATCGTGGGTGTTCGGCGGCAAAATACTAACAGGCTAAGTGGGGAGTTAACTGCACAGAGTCCAAAAGCTTGAGAGATGTACATTTGTGCGAACAAACAGCACAACCCTTGCAGTATACACAAGCCCCAGGAACTGTCTGCTATTCCTCTCCCCGGCACCCAATTTTCTGCAAGCCTGGAACCACATCAAGGTCCTTCCCCCTTCCACAAGAAGTGGTATTGCCCACAATAAAGTGAACAAGAGTTAACACACTCTGAACAGCATTTAGAAAGACTCAGAGGACAGAATGGGTAGCAGAATTCACGTTTGGGTTAAGCAAAGTTGGAAGTACAACAGGTGGCCATCAAATTCACAATCTTATCAGCCCTGGTGCCCAGCTATCAAACCAACTGAAAACAAAATAAAACCTTATTTTGCAAAAGTTTTTAACTGAATTGGCTTTAAAAGCAGAGGTCTTCACTTCCAGTCCTTGCTCATTTTTACTTAAAAAATAAAAGTTACAATGGATTTTATTGCATTTAGAGATTATAGTGTTCACTCAGAGAGATTGCAGAGCAATCACTGTTTTATCAAGGCTAATAATATTAACTTAATTTTGCAGGGTGTGTGTGTGTGTGTCAGATTTTCCCATGAAACCACACCCTCTGTTCCGAAAACTGCTCTACAATAAGTTCTCATTTTTGTTCATGAGAGCCTTTCGCCAAGGCACTCTGGCTAACATACATCAGGTTATTTCATGCCACAACGATCCCTCATGGTAGGCCAACCTGAAAAAATCACACTAGCATTTCAAGTCAGGCCCTCTGTCTGCTGCCCATGTTCCAGGAGTCAAAGACCATCAATTAAATAAAACAACACAAATCAGCTTCTGGGGCTAATGTGCTCACAGCACCGTAAGCCCTATAGAATTCAGTGGGAATTCTTCTGTCGCACTGAATTCAATGGGGCTTACTCCCAGGAAAGTGACCAGAGGATTCTAGCCTGGGAGACCTACAGCCTTGACACGCCTTGGAGCTTCAGTGAAGGGGTTCTGACGGGCAAGAACCCCGATGTTGGGATAGGGAACGTCACAGCGAGGGGGGGGGGAAACAACCACAGCAAGACTGCCCTTGAGCGTGTGCAGAAGGCGCCCACGCAGCCTCCCGGTGGAGGTCTAGGATTGGATCTCTAGGCTGCTTCGAGTCCCGAAATACTATTGCCTACAAAAGGACGACTTTTTAAGCTAAACGTGCCTTTGCAACTAAGAGCAGAGCAGCGCGCCTCGCTCGCCAACCCTGCTCCTCGAAGGGACGGAGCGCGCACCAGATAATTCCCAGAAAGAGACCCCGTCCAGGCAGCAGGGTCTGATGAGGTAGGCAAATGGGACCTGCTCGGGGTCCCAATCCCCCTTCCCGAGCAGGGCGAAGCCAGGCAACACGACCAGGGAGCAAGAGGGAACCCCGACAGCTCCGTCTCCGCCGCTGCCCGCAGACTGGCTGGCTCGGCGAGGCTGGCGCTTGCTCCGGCTGCCGGCACCTGCTGCAAGCGAGGGCGGCGTCGGCAGCTCCCGGCGGCCCCTAGCTCTCCTCGGCCGGCGGGCCGGGCTCGGCTTCTCCTCCGCCTTCCCTCCCACCCCTTCGCGGCGCCCGCACTCACAGCCAGTTGCTGGCGTTGGCCGAGAAGGCGGCGAGGATCAGCAGCAGCAGCGAGCGCAGGAAGTAGCGCGGGCTCATCCTGGACGGCGCGGCCGGGCGGGCGAGCGCGGACGGCGGGGCAGCGGGAGGCAGGGCCGGCGTGGGGCCGGCGGCGTGGGGCCGCAGCGCAGCCGGACCCGCGGCCGCCCGGGCTCAGGTGTTGCTGCTGCCGCGGCCGCCCGGCGCTCCGACCCGACGGCTCGAGCAGCAGGGCGCAGCCGGGGCTGATGCGCCGGCGGCAGCTGCGGAGCCGGACTGTCAGCTCGGCCGGGAGCTCCCGGGATGGAGCGGCGGGCGGGCGGGGCGCGGCCCCAGGAGGCGGCTCTCGGGGCGGGACCGGGACACCCCTGAGGCGGAGCGCGCGGCGCCCGGGAGCCGCCTCGCCTGCTGCCGTCCGCGTCCCGGGCCGGCCCAGCGCGGCCCGAGGGGGCTTACTCTGGAGTAAAGCGGCGCGGAGCCCACGCGCGGGCTACTCCCGAGTAAGAGAGAGGGCGTCCGGGGAGGCGATCTTCCCCGAGCAAGTCTGAATTATGTCTTTTTCCAAAGCACATTTCTCTTCTTTCTCGTTCTCTTTCCCTGCAACCGGAGCTCTTCTGGGTTATTCTGGAAATGCACTAAGCATTCTGCACTAGCTCGGAGAAGCCCTCTTCCTTTTATTTCACCGCGTGTGTTTTCTCAAAGGGGAAGTGCTTGCCTGAAGCCTCTCCCATCAATCTGCCTTGGAAGTCCAAACTTCCTGGATGTGGATGCAGGAACTTCTTAGCCTGGGGAATAGGGCACTCTGTGCATGATCAGAGGTGCCTGGGTGTTCTTGCTTTTGTTTGCTTCCTACGGTTATAGAGCTGACAGCTCTGGCAGGGATCACAGCTTTAAAGGATGAGCTACGGGGATGGCTAAAGAGCAATGGTCTGCTTGCTATGTGAACTCATGAAATGCTGTGGGTTAAACCACAGAGCCTAGGACTTGCCAATCAGAAGGTCGGCGGTTCGAATCCCCATGACGGGGTGAGCTCCCTGCTCCTGCCAACCTAGCAGTTCGAAAGCACGCCCCAAAGTGCAAGTAGATAAATAGGTACCGCTCCGGCGGGAAGGTAAATGGCGTTTCCATGCGCTACTCTGGTTCGCCAGAAGCGGCTTAGTCATGCTGGCCACATGACCTGGGAGCTGTACGCCGGCTCCCTTGGCCAATAAAGCAAGATAAGCGCTGCAACCCCAGAGTTGGTCACGACTGGACCTAATGGTCAGGGGTCCCTTTACCTTTACCTAACTGTTTTTAAGGGATTGGGACATAAACTGTACTGTACCACCTTCTTGGCTGCGAAATGTGTTGGGTGTAGAGCTCTGCCCACACAACCCCCTCCTTCCTTTTAAAGGTCAAGTTTCCAGCCCTCAAGGCCACACAGAGAGAAGGTTGAAAGTCTGCAGGCCCTACTATTGCCAGGGGAAACCTCAGCTGCAGAGGGGTGGGGCTGAGCAGGTGAGAGTTCAGGGACAGCTGCAACTCTCCCCCTCCCCTGGATTAGCAGAACCAGCAATTTATGCAAAATAAGCAGAATTTCGCTAAACTGGGTATATAGCCGAAGGTAGAACAAGGAAAACTGGCATGGGCTGAAACGACGGGCAGGCCTTGACCTGTCCTACAGTGGTGGTTCTTTCTGCTTTTCAGACTTTTAAAAATCCATGCAGAGAAGGCCTGCATTCCTTCCACTGTCTCCTTGCCCAGAGAGAGTAGCTGCAGTAGATCAGTAAAAGAGAGAGAGAGTGAGAGAGTGCGTAAGAGAGAGAGAAAGAGAAGCTTCCAATACTTGTTTTAAAGCCTGTTGCCTTTTCCCAAATGCCTCAGCTTGGGCTTGCACTGGTAATAGGATGGGGAACTGCTGGATGTCTACGGGCTCCAGCTACCATCTTGCTGGACCCTTGGCCATGCTGGCTGGGGCTGATGGGAGCTGTAGTCCGGCGACACCTGCAGGGACACAGGCTCCCCCCCCCCGCGGTGTTATTTTGGTAGAAGAAGGGTCATCAGAAAAGATGTACCATATAAGCTGCTTTGCGCTGAGTGAGAACATTCGTCTATCTAGCTCAGCATCGTCTGCACCAGGAATCATCAATGTGGTGCCCGTGGGCACAATGGCACCCATAAAGACTTTCATTGGTCTCCCTGGGCAGGTCCCCCAGATGCTGAGCTGCTCCTCCTCCTCCTCCTCCTCCTTCTTAAAAAGTCCGTAGGCCACTTAGAAGCATAGAACGGTAGAGCTGGAAGGGACCCTAAGAGCCATCTAGTCCAACCCTTTCAATGCAGGAGTCACAGCTAAAGAATTGCTGACAGATGCCCCCCCCCAACTCTGCTTCAAACTTTCCAGTGAAGAAGAGGCCACCAGCTTCCTAGGGAGCCCATTATCATCTCAAGTAGCTCTTATTTAGAATCAATGTTATGGGCCGAAATGTGCAGGTACCCGCTTAGTGGTTTCCTTGAAATGAGGTGTGATGTGGGCATGTTGTATATTTTTCCTGGTGCTGTTGTTATTAGGCAGCAAAAGCATCAGTGTCTCTCTCTCTGTATGTAATCAATTAAAAGAGCCTGGCTGCTCAAACAGCTATTGGCTCTGGCGCCACCTACTGTCAGGCTCCCTGTCTTCCACCCTACCAACCCTGTTTTCCTTGGTATGTGTGTGTGACTTCTTATGCTGCTGCTTTTGTAGTGGCTTTTGCTGCTCCCCTCCTCCCTGGAAGGCCAAACATGGGCAGGTGGGCACCCCTCCCAATCAGCAATATTATTGTTATTGTTGTTATTATTATTATCATCACCTGGGCTTAAAAAAAATCTTCTTCCTTCAACGAGCCAGCAGTTATGGTATATGTGGAGTCCTCACATTTCACCCTCACAACAACCCTGTAGAGTAGGTGAGATTAGGAGGCAGTGGGTTGTATCCAACAGCAGTCCTTTTTGGAGTAGATCCATTGAAAATAATTGACCTAGACAACTTATTCCTGTTAATTTCAATGACTCGCTTTGGAGCTAAGGAAAGAATCCACACATGTGATCCACACATCCACATTTCCCCCTTAGCTGTCTGGTCAAAGTCCAGTGCCTTTTACATACTGACCCCTAAGAAATCCATGTTCGATAGCTGAGATGTAGCAGACTACTATTTCCAAGGGAAGACTTGGAATAGACTGCCAGTGAAGAGCAGAGGTGATTTTGAGGTCTTAGGCTATTAGCAGTTGCTCCACTAGCCACTAGAGGGAGACATGATCACATATAACTTAAGACTTGAGCACCATCCCCCTTTGGGGCTGGGCCTGAATATCTCCCACCCCCCATCCCAAGGTTAGAGAGCTGGACCCTCACAACCATTGTTTCTGGAACAGGCTGACGTTTAAGTCGGCCAGTGCTGCAGCAACTCATGATTCCTCATCTTGTTTTGGAGATATGGAAGGCTGGTCTCACTGGTCTGGAGATGTGGAAAGCTTCTTGCTATGTATGGATAGGGTTCTGAAGGCCTTTGAGGAAAGGTGGTCTTCCCCATTCTGACTGATGACAATGGGTGGGGGCAGACCACCACGCTTTGACATGACTAGATTTGGAAACTGGTAAGTATCCCAAGTCCATGTTAAAAAGAAGAAGTGGGTCTACCTGGATGGTCCTCCTACCCCATTTAAACTGTTTTCAGAATCTAAGACAGGCTTCCTCAACCTCTGCCCTCCAGATGTTTTGAGACTACAATTCCCATCATCCCTGATCACTGGTTCTGCTAGCTAGGGATCATGGGAGTTGTAGGCCAAAAATATCTGGAGGGCCGAGGTTGAGGAAGCCTGATCTAAGACCACCTTCAGCTTGATCTCCCCTGGTCCAATCTTCCCAGCTGCCTGCATCCTAGCCAACAAACACATCTGCCTAGAGTGGCAGAGGAATGACGCTCTACATACCATGCTCTGTGGTTGCATCCTGCAACCACAGTGTGGTGTAGTGGTTACGAGTGGTAGACTCGTAATCTGGTGAACCGGGTTCGATTCCCTGCTCCTCCACATGCAGCTGCTGGGTGACCTTGGGCTAGTCACACTTCTCTGAAGTCTCTCAACCTCACTCACCTCACAGGGTGTTTGTTGTGGGGGAGGAAGGGAAAGGAAAATGTTAGCCACTTTGAGACTCCTTAGGGTAGTGATAAAGCAGGATATCAAATCCAAACTCCTACTCCTCCTCCTCCTCCTCCTCCTCCTCCTCTTCTTCTTCTCCTCCCTGCTGGATTGTCTGTTTTTCACTGTGGTGCCGGCATTGGCATAGAGGTACCAGGAGGCTGGACACAGGAGGCTTAGGGCCAACTTGTGCCTTGTAAGAAAGATGCCACAGTGTGAGTTTGGATGGTCAACTGACAGGGATTCTTTAGCTGTGATTCTTGCATTGATGACCCTTGGGGTCCTTGTCAAATAATGCCTGGTCCCCATGAAATGGGAGGTGTGCTACGCAGAACTGAACACAGAGAGCACTTCCAGACTCTCACTGTTTTTGAGTGGGATTCAATCACACCCAGGCAAATTAAATCAAAGCACAATCAACGCTGATTGGGGGCTCTTTTGAAACAAATCTGCTTCCTTTGCAATATGGAAAATGCTGGGATCATCTATTCTCCCCAGAAACAAATCAGGACGAATACTCATTAAGCAAGTTGCCTGGATCCGGAAACATTTATTATGTTATTGTTTTACCATTCTCCTTGGCTCTGTTATCAGAGTCTATTTATTTATTATTCAAGGAGAAGCAGTGCATGTAGCTGTGGGCAGGGGATTGCGAGAGGGTGAATTGAAAGAGGAGTTATTGTATGTTAAGAAGAATTTAGCAGGGTGGTGGTAGTGGAATCAAATAAACTATTAGTACCAAAACTGGTATTGACCTACCTTAAAGGGTTTTTGCAAGGAATACTCAAGTGAGCACAAGTTAGGGTTGGGTGCTGTGCTGTGTAGCCGGTTACCACATTTGAAACCAGAAGCAATCTCTGCTTATCCTCAGGCCTTTCTGGTGGGTTGAGAGTCACTCAAGTCTGGTTTTGCTTGAGGCTGACCCAGAATTTATGATTAACC